TTGTTTTGGGCAATACTAAAAGAGCAGAAGTTGATGTTCTGCTATTTTTGGAAAATAAGAGGTGCAAGTTAAAATATGAACCCACTTTTACAAAAGAGTCAAACTTGTTTTCCCTAAGTTAGTTGAAAGTAATATGCCTTCATTCTCATGGCAAGAAACATTTCCTTTAGTGCAGCTGACGAGGTTTTCAAGGTGTTTCTGCACATCATGTAGGGAAAGCAAATTGTCATCAAAATTGAAAATTCAGAATATGTTGAGGTTTTTTTCCCCTGAAGGTCTTTAGGGCTCTTGAAATGCTAAATAGAAAACTGAGCTCAATGCATATGGAGGAGATTTTCATATTTTAAAAGACAGACAGTGTCAGCCGGCAGACACAGCAACTCCAAGAATCTTCAAAAAGGCAGAAGCAGAAAAGTTTACTGCTTGTTCGGTGGACATGTTATTTTAGCCTGTGTTCTGCAGATTGAGAGGCAGATTGCCTAGGGTCAGAGTGTGACCCTGCCCTGCAGCATGAGCATTATTCCTTTTTTTTTTTTTTAAGTGTAAATTTACATTTGTCTGCAACCTGCCTCCTTAATGATGGATCAGTCTTTTGTGAAGGTATAATCTCTGATTGATGGGGCACAGGGATAGGAGAGGAGAATGCAGAAAACAAGTTTATAAATTTGACATAAGATTTGAATCGCAGTAGGAACTCTGCCAGTCTCCTTATGCATAAAATTGGACTGGCTGGAGATATGTACTGCATGTGTGATGTTTCAGCACTTATTGCTTTCATTATATCTTTACTTACCCAGTTAAGAGACTACTGAACTTGCAAAATCTAGCAGGCTGGATTTTTTTTAAAACAACTTTTGCAATATAAGAGGAGGATGGGGGACTGGGGGAAAAAAAAAAAAAAAAAAAAGAAAAAATTACATGGAAGATCGTCATCTGGCATAATCCAATATCATTTACAGGAGTTACGCTGATTTTCTCTAGCTGATGACCTGACTCAGTAGTTTTGTTCTGCTTTAGCAATAATTTATTTATTTGTTTATCTTCTGAATGGGCTTCACTAACATTTCATGTTTCCTCTTAGTATTATTCCTTTCCCTTCTTTGTTTGGGAAATTATATGGTTTATTGATTAAACAGCATTTGAAAATTAAAGTCAATGGGCCAAACTCTAACCCTAACCCTACTGCAACTTTACTGAGTTCAAATTATACAGGGATGAATGAGTTTAGAGACTCCTACAAAGAAGGTTACTGCAGAGGTTGATTCCATAATAAAAGGGAAGTCTACAGCTTTGTTGTCATTTCAACGGAAATTATACGTTGTAAGAAGTCTAGTGCTTTCAGCTTCAACTAACATAATGAAACCTGAGGGTACTGACCACAAAAGAAAGTAAAATAATATGTGATTTTAATGGATTAAAATCTGATATTGTCAGGAAGGTACCTAACAATACTGCTTTTCATTTCTATCCATACCTTGGAGTACTCTGATTCCTATGGCCAAGCAGAATAGCTATCTTCTCAACCATATTTACATCAATAGTAATAGAAAGAAAGGGTAATGGACAGGTTCTGTAAGCAAAGGGATACTGTGAAGTTTTAGCAGAAATGCAGCTCTGAATTGGGCACAGTGAAAACAGACTCTATGGATGGGGG